GTGTGTGTGTATCATTAGACTCAGGTCAGCAGGCTTCAGCCCACAGTGAAATTTTAACATCTTTATGAACTAGCAAGAACAGGGAATAAATGGCATAGGCTGTAGTTAATGACTTATAACAAGAGGAACCTTCTTTGGAAGGACTTCCAGTAAATATTGCTGGTCTTTTAAGGAAACAGTATCACCTCCAGGATTCCAGTACTTTTATTACCTTTCTCTTCTGAGAAGTGAGATCTCCCTCAGTTGTTCCAGATTTCTTAGATATTTTCTTGGACTTTTTCTTGGATTTTTTGGGAGTACTAATTCTAGTGAATTTCATTCTGGAACAAAAGACAAATATTTTCATAACAATGTACAAAAATGTTAAATATAAATACCAGTCATAATTCCAACTTAAAAAGAAAAAACAGCCGGACAGTGGTGGCACAGGCCTTTAATCCCAGCACTCAGGAAGCAGAGGCAGAACTCTCTGTGAGTTCAAGGCCAGCCTTATCCACAGAGCTAGTTCCAGCACAGCTAGGGCTACACAGAGAAATTCTAATTGAAAAACAAAAGAAAAACAGAAAAAACAATCACCATCAGTTTGATTAAACAGTAAGTCACAGTATTTTATTTCTGGTGCTGAGGATGGAAATATGTACATACCGAGCAACCATTCTACTACCTTGCTACATTGCCAGCCCCAAGATTTACCAATTATTACTTCATTTGATAAGACTAATAGGAGGTGGTAGTGCATGACTTTAATCCCAGCACTAGGGAAGCAGAAGCAGGAGGATCTCTATGAGTTCCCGACCAGCCTTGTCTACAGACTAAGTTCCAGGATAGCCAGGGCTTTTACACAGAGAAACTTTGTCTCAAAATAGAAGAGAAGAAAATAATAAGCCTAATGGAAACATTTTCAGGACTCCTCCCTGCTGTGGAGAGCTTATTTTTCAATAAAATCTTGCTTGCTTGCAAAAAAATAAAAACAATAAGCATTGCCAGGCAGTGGTGCACACCTTAAATCCCAGAACCTGAGAAGCAGAGGCAGGTGCATCTCTCAGTTTGAAGTCAGCCTGGTCTACAGAGTGAGTTTTAGGACAGCCAATGCTACAAAGAGAAACCATGTCTTGAGAAAAACCAAAGGGAAAAAAACAAGTTTAAAAAAAGAGTTTAA